ATGTTTCTAGCAAGAGGTAAGTGTCAGCAATGTATGCAATTATTGTTGTTTAAGAGATCAAATCTTCTTCTATTACTGTATCCATTTGAAGCTAAAAGTTATAATTGATGAATAGAAATGGGATTTGCTGGTCAAAAATGAGCTTTAACAGTGACTCCTAAACCCATTGGTGTAAACAAGATGTTTCTGATACCATTTGGGTGGGTACAGGTAGAATGATCAATGCGGGTCTAGGGATCCTTATGTTTGTTTGAGCTCCTGACAGATGTTCTGCAGCAAGCAGACATGTGCACCCTGCCTTCTGTCTCCAGTTCCTCATGAGGTGTAAATTTCTGTCTTTGTGCTTTATATTTAAATTATAATGTTGAGAGCTTTAGGATAATATGACAAAAGGAATAAATGCAAAGACAATGTTAGGCTGATAGAATTTTTTTTCTATGGTCCTTGGATTAGTCCTTATACAGTGTCTTCAAGTACTTGGAATTAATTTAATGGAAGAAGTAAAGCTTTCAGGCTTGGCCTCTGTCCAGGGGAACATCCCAAACTGTGTGAGCTGTGTTCAGATAGTTTCTTTGTGAAGAGAGGCTGAGAGCCCTCTTATTTGAGGGAGGGACGTGATTCAGTTGTACACAGTTGTGAAGCTTGCAAGCCAGATGAATGCAAGTAGTTCTTCATTCTTCAGCAAAATTTTCAGTGGTAGAACAAGAGTGACTTTCTGAAACTAGGAAGGGAATAAATTAAATTACTAGAGGTAGTTCTTTTAACAGTGGGCGCTTAAATACTAGTGCAGTCTGCCACAAGAGGTTGTGAAGGCATGTTCAAAAGGTGGTTAGATGGATTTGTGGACAGCAAGTCCATAAATTGCTTCTGATGGAAGTAAGTAGCAATGTAGCCTTTAATTTTGTAATAGTTAAAATTGCTGAAGGATTATGAGGAGAGTGGACTGCAGAATACAGCCAGGTTCACATGCTCAGAATACAGCCAGGTTGGCATGCTTTCCTTGAGTAGCACGTCCTCTTGCCACCTTAGGAGCTGTTGGAGTACTGGGCTGGATGCACCATGGCTGCATTTTCATTGCAAAATCTCCGTTTATCCAAATTGCTCATAATTCAGCCCACTCGTGCCTTGCAGTTTGCACTATCTCTCTAGGCTTGGAGCAGAGTGCCTTTTTTTCGTAAATTAAGGTTGAAATTTACTCTCATGTGAGTACTCATCACAATAGGCTGAAGTATTAAGCTGAATGAAGTCCCTGCCCTACTTGTGTCACATTCTCTCTGCTCACCCTTTGAAAGATACAGAGTCACTCCTGGAATAACTTACTGAAATTCTTATTGATAACTCCTGGCAAATCACTGACATGGCAAAACAATAGCTAGAAGGAAGAAGTTAGTTTAAGCCTCCCAGACTCCTAGTCTGCAGCTGTGATGTATGTTGTGTTTTTGTTAAATAGCTGCTAAGCTGCAAAAAATCATTGTTAGAAAGGGCTCTTTAAATGTATCTCTTGGTGTTTTGGGATTTCTTATAGTTTATTTTCATGGAGGTAACATATCAATTTGTGGCTCATCCAGCATCTGCAGAAGCTGGATGAGCCCACATCTGTAAGGCAACTGTATAAAATTAAGTGTAGTATCTGGAAATTTCTGATTAGTTAGATCTGAGCTTACAGTCATTTGGAAATATAAAAAGAGATTTTTTAAAAATTTATTTTCCTCTGAGTATGTCAAAATAATGTGAGAGTTCAAATGAAGTGTATGGAATTTCTAAATTCTTTTGTGCTCCAGGATTTAAGTTACTCAATGTGCATTTGAAGCAGGAAGGCAAATCTTTAATAAAGAAACACCAAACCACCAGATAATACAGAAAATTTTATTTCATTATTAGGGGAGAGAATACTGCAAAATGGAGCACTTCATCACAGGGAGTATTAAAAGCTGAAAAATTGGATAAAAGCATTGAGACTGTTTGGAGGGCCTGGGAGAATAGGCTCCAAAAGAGGCTATTTACCGCCTTGGTGGTAAATGAGACCTCTCTGAAGTCTGTGTTTTATAAGGCTGACAGTCAAAGGAGTATTCTGTGGCACTGAAAGGTGTCAAATTTGAAGCTAAAGAACAGTAAATATTCAGATAAGGATAAGAATTGGTGTGTGGAGCAGCAGTGATATTGGTACTTGATTGCCTACATCTGTCAGCACTGAATATTTAGGTGTTATACATCAATTGCTGCTCTTTGAAACAAGTCTTAAAAGCCAAAGAGGTTGTCTCCTTTAGTTCAGTCTTTCTGAATTTCTTGTGTGTGCCTCTGAAGCACCCAGTGCTGGCCTTGCTCAAAGGCTGAAGTATTTTTATAAAGCTCCCAGGGACTGCTGCTCCCTGCTTTAGAAACCCAGTGTGGTTCTTCAACCACTGGAGGCTCTGCAAGCCTCCCTGTTTAATCTTTGGAGCTGCTTGGTGTACTCATTAGGGGTCTAATGTGTCTCACTGCCAGGCCCTCAAATGGTTCAGAAGATATCAGGCTACTTAATTTGGCTTTGTCACCAAAATAAATGATTTAAATTAAAGCACATTTCCAGCTACGCAGTCAACACTAGTGCTGCAGTGGTAGTCTGGGGCTGGAGTTCCCTTTCCACACTCGTGTAATTCATCTGACATCACTTGTAGTACATCAGTACCATGTGTGAGCAGCTTTTTAGCTTGAAAGAGAACTATCTTGGCAAAACCCCCAGAAAATTGATGGGTTTTTACCCTTACCTAGCTGAATTTTTATGAAGAGCATTAGCACTGGTGCTGAGGTGATGGTGCCACAGAAAGGAAAGGAAAGGAAAGGAAAGAGAACTGGGCTTCCTGTGGCAAAAAGCTGTTCTGTTGGCTTGACTCCTTTTCATACTGGACCTTGAGTGTCTGAGTCAGTGTTTCATTAAAAAATGTTGTCTACTGAGTTTTATTTTTCTTGTTTGCTGTAGCCAGGTCTCCAATGCAATGCTCAGCAAAACCATCAGTTGGAGTAATTGGGGACAATTCAGTAAAAATTTAATGTTGCTAGAAGAAGAAAATTTCTTTATAGTCTTGTGTGAAAATGAATGTTTTATCTTTTACCAGGGCCTCTACAGACAAAAAATGTGCAATAGTTTAAAACTCAGAGAGGGTTGTTCTGGGTTGGGTGTAAGGAAGAAATTCTTGCCTGTGGAGGTGGTTAGGTTCTGGCACAGGTTGCCTGGAGAAATTGTGGCTGCCCCATCCCTGGAAGTGTTGCAGGCCAGGTTGGATGGAGCTCTGAGCAGCCTGGGATAGGGGAAGGCGTCCCTGCCCATGGCAGAAGGTGCAACAAGATGATTTTTAACAGTCTCTTCCCAAACCACTCAGTGATTCTGTGATTTAGGATGGAGTATTTTCAATGGCTTGCATAAAATTATCAGTGTTGATCTTGGTCCCTGTTAATTAGAACCTCTGTCTCCCTTACCCCAGAAAACTACTTTGCTTGCTTCTGTCATATTTTTTGGGTGCTCTGAGAAGCTGGTTTATGGAGGTGTAATTTATTTGAAACTGAAATGTCATGCCTACTGAATGTTCTGTTTTGTAGAAGTTGCAAAGTTATGACTTAAATTACCTGTAGAATATAATCTAGTGTTTGTTGACTTGGCCCTCACTGAAACTGCAAAAATGTGACAAGGCATAAATTAGCCATGAATGCTGTAGCCTGAAGTACCTTGGATCATGCTGTTGTGCAGGTGGGAGACTTCAGTAAGATGAAGTTGGTATATTTTGGATAGATGTGAGGAGTGTGCCCGTGCAGGTTGGAGAGGCACGTAAGCTGCCTTCAAAGCTCAAATCAAATAGCCTGAAGGTAGTGTTAGCTTTTAGCTAAAACAAGGTATTTTCAGCTGACTGAACTAACTTACTCAGCTTGGGAATATGGGAACTTTCTGGAGTTCAAATACCCATTTGTTGCCTGGAAATAGGATCGTTTTTTACTTCAAAGCTATGCTTCCATCCATAGGACCATTAATGTCCTTGTGCAATTTCTAACAGCTGTCTGCCTGTTGATTTCAGGTATTTTATTTTAATGCCTAAAACCAGCCTAATGGAAGCTGCAAAAGCAAGATGCTTTTTCCTAAGTGGCTATCATTTCTCTTTTAAATGATTTGAAGTGCATATTGCAGTGAATGCTAAACATAGCTCCAGTTTCAGCATCCTTTTTAATATTTCATTTTATATTAATATCCTGATCAGGTAGTTATACTGAATGAAAGGCTTTTAAAATTGAAAACAGATAGTTCTACTACCCCGATGCCTACGAAGTAAGATTTTAACTGTTCCTTTAGTGAATTTTGAAAGACTTGATTTTAAGGACTGCCATTTGAGAGGATTTATTATCTGTAGACCACTGAATTTTAGAGGGGACTAGGCTTATTACTAGACTTGGGGGAAATTTGAAATTGGTGTCCCCCCATGTAAAAATAACTGGTAGTTATTTAAAACATGACAAATGAGAAAAGGTTTGTGAAATGGCTGGCTGTTGGAAGGTTTCTGTCAAGCCATAATGACTAAATCACCTTCCAAACACAATTTCATCTGCTAAATTAATTTGGAGATGGGCAGAACATGCAGATATATGTATGCAATTTGTCAATCACTTGGGGTAAATATGAATAAATTACTTAAACCAGCTAGCCTAGGTACAAAGCTAGACTCAAGTGAACCTTCTGTATTTGGTGAAGTTTGCTTTAGTCGGGAAAGATTTGAGAAAAAATTAATTTTCTATTCCAGCAGTAATCTTGGTCTGTGTTTGCAATTGCAGAGTCTACAGCAAACTTGATGAAGTCAAGTGATGAAGTACCTAACTGCGATACAGACTACTTCTGAGCTAATTATCTTTTTTTTTTTTTTTTTTTGGGATGCAGTGTCCTGTGGCATTTGGCAGTGAAAGGTCCTGAGGCAGACAGGTATTTGTTTCATGTGAAACCTCAGTGCTAACATGTCTCTTGTTTTGGTTTGTGTTTTCAGGGATCAGGCGGGAATCTCCAATTCATTGCTTGCTGAGTGTCCTGTCTGGTGGAAGTCATGTCCATATTGCCATTCACTCCACCAGTTGTGAAGAGACTTCTGGGGTGGAAAAAATCTGCTGGTGGCACTGCAGGGGCTGGTGGTGGTGAGCAGAATGGTCAGGAGGAGAAGTGGTGTGAGAAAGCAGTGAAAAGCTTGGTCAAGAAGCTAAAGAAAACGGGACAGCTGGATGAGCTTGAGAAGGCAATTACCACTCAGAATTGCAATACAAAATGTGTGACAATTCCAAGGTAGGTGCTATTGTATTTGAAGTTACAGCCACTTAGGAAATGATTAAATGGATGCTCAGACCTTCTGTGAACAAATGACTAAAAAATAGTTGCATGCTTTTGATTCTTTAAAATTAATTAAAACCTGTATTGGATTAATATGGTGCTTGCTTATAACGGAATCACATGCTTTGTGAAGTCACAATTTCGTTACATTTCAATTTTCACTGATATGCAGGATCCTGTTTTTGTGTATTCTGATGATATTTAACACTGGTCTTAGTTTGTAGCACTGCTTCATGCTTTTATTTAATCACCCTGTCTATACTTGGGGAGGGGGGAGCATGCTTGAGCCAACACTTGTACTTGAAAAAATACCAAAAGACTAGTTTTTCCTTGGTCAACACTTCAGTAATCTAATTATTTTCAGTTTTATCTGCTAGTTTAAATGGTACAAGCTGCCTCCATTCTCCCTTTTGAAGGGAAATTTTATCCTTGGAGGCAAGTTGTCTGAAGACCAGTTTATTTACTGTAATTATTGTTATTGTTTAATGAAAACACTTTTTGCATAATAACTTGGGGTATTTCTAGAATTGCTCCTCTGATATATATAAAGATTTAGATGAACAACTTGCATTCTACCCCTTTGGCTTTCCCAGCTTAATTCATAGCAACTGCTGTGCGAGAGCAAGGGTTATGTTTTTAAGTATAATGCAGTCTGCTCTTGATTCATGTTGCACTGAAATCCCACTGGGGTGCCTGGGCAAGCTCATTGTGTGTGACAGAAGTATCAAATCACTTCACAGGTGTGTTTTTCCCTGAAAGTTAGAGAATTTCACTTTTCTGGGCACTTAAGTCACTTGATGCTAAAGTTATTTATAGGGGAGAGGAGCTACATCTGGTTGATGAACTTCATTTCTGTATTAGCGCATTTATCCTAGCTACTTTCAAACTTTGTATTAATCATAGTGGAAGTTAGATTTGACTGGTGTCACTAATGATTCCATATATCAAATGTGTTGTAGCTGTTATCTGATAATGGTTTCAGCATTCTGTTTTCGATTTGACACAGCTGTCTGGGAAAGTCATGACACTACCCTGAATAAATGACTATTTTAATTCTTATTTTTCTCTTTTCTCTTCACGTTTTGTTTCTAATGCTGCACTCTGCTTCTATTTTCTTCCCTAGAATATACCCAAAAATTTCTGGTTTTGCCTTCTGCTTTCTTCCTTTTGCCAGATGGAAACAATAGATTATTAGTGCTTTCTTGTCTCAGTGTATTATCACCAGACTAAGATTGGAACCTGTAAGGTTTTAGGTTTCTTGAGATGACTCTGTGTATTTAGCGAGTCTTTACTGAAACTGAGATGAGGTGCTTAATTGGCAGTTGTTTCATATGACACAAGTTAAACACACTTGGTATAAAAATGTGCACCTAGGTTCTAGAGCTCTTGGATTTTATAGAGCCCTCCTTCAGAGAAACTGGAACAGTAGATATTGCTATTTCAGAAAAATAGATGTCTGCAATGAATTTTGTTAGAAGATACAAACAGTATTCTAATACATCATTGTTTTTGAGTAGACTCACAGTAGTCTACTCATAGTAGAGTATGCTTGCGTGACCTTTTGTTCTAAAGTAGACAAAATAAATAATTCTTTAAAATGGAATACAGATATTCTGTTACTAGCAGTTCTTGCTGTTCTCTGTCCTCCACTCAGCTGTAAAAAGAACTGGACCTGGATTTTACTCCTCTTGAGTACCTTAGGAGTTAGTCAGGAAGAATTTTTCTGTTGGTGTTGGCTATTATACAGGGCTTAATTTTAAATTAAAAAATTGTTTTGGCACTAAGGGGCAGGGTGATATCAGGGCTGCCAGCAGTGCCATACAGAATTTTTTAATTTCATAGCTGGGTTTTATATTGTTGATATTACTTCACTTTGACAGCAGTAGTTTGGGTTCCCAAGAAATAATGAATGTCAACTCAGTATTGTAATGACTTCTTGGAGATTCTGTTCTTGGATTTAGTAAGTTAATGAAACCACTGCTTGAGACCCACTTTAATGAATGTCTTAAAGATCTGCAGATCAGCAGGGATAAATAATAAAATGCTGAATTTGAAACTTTTTTCCTTACTAGTCAGCAGGAAGTTTGTGGTGCCAAGCTGCTGAGATGCAGTTCTGATGTGACAGCTGGGCTAGCTTTCCAAATGTTTTTGTGTATGTTGGTTTTTAGCTAGCTTTAGTTTTACTTACTACTGTTTTTAATTTGGTGCAGATATCGACAACTGTCGTGGGATGCTTCTGTTTGTCACTGTTGCATTATTCTTTAAAAAAAGTTTCATTTGCAGTTTCAGAAGTTTCTGGTCCCCTGGGAGATTTCCAGAGGTTTGATACAGTGTTTAACTCTAGTATACTTTTTCATCATTGAAACCTAAAGCTTCCAAACTCCCACAGACTTTTCACGAAACTGAGAAGCAGCTTGAACAAAAGTTGTAATAAATCACCTACTCAGAGATCTGCATTTTTTACTGTGTGTCATTGATAATTGTGCTGAATCAGGTTTATTCTGCTCCTGTGCTGTTTGTCAAGGTGACTGCACACTAAGGGAGGCTGATCCTGTGTGTACTACACAAAAGCTGCTCATGTGGTAATTAACACAACTTCTTACGAGACTAATGGAGGTTCTGAGAAAGCAGAAGCAAACAGATGGAGTGGGTGTTGGCATTGCACAGCAGGACTGCTTAGCTCTTCATAAGTGGGTCAGTAATCTAGAGCAGAGGCTAAATAAGTACAGAAGTCCTTTTGACACTAGCCCTCTAAGTAATTTGTAGTTATCTTGCTGAATCCTCCCAGCAAGCCAGTGGGATTCTAATCACATAATCCTTGTGTATTCTGAAACTAAATGTTGGCACGTGAGTTCACTTTTCTAAAATACAAAATGAATTTGGTGGCATTTTAGAACTTGTCTTTATGCTCTCTCATGCAGTTTTGACATGGCCAGGAGATGCCGTCAGTGTAGAAACACTGTGAGCATCCTTCTTCTAAAGGAGCAGTTTCTTCCTTCCTAGCCTGGATTATTCTTTTGAATCTCAGAATCCTAGATTAGTTTGGGTTGAAGGGAACCTTAAAGATCACCTAGCTCCAACTCCCCTGCCATGGCCATGTGCAGAGGCATCTTCCTCAAAACCCAGTCCAAAAATGCTTTGTAACTAGTGGAGGCTGAAATCCAAGCATCTAACAAACCAAACCTTGCCATGTAGTGAATAATCAGCTGGCATATTGTCATATTTTTTGCATGTAGTCTGGCATATAGTCTTATCTTTGTTTTTTAAAAAGTTGTTTCAGTGGTAACAGCACAGAGAATTGGAATCCAAAGTATGAAAACACAACTAGTTTCAGCATCTCAGTATTTTGGTGTGATCAGCTGAGTCATTTTTCTGTCTTAAAAAGAGTACAGATATGCTTCATGCCTTATTTCTGATTCTTTTAAATGGGACCAGAAAACAGTTGCTTTTTTAAAGTGCCTTATAATGTACAACTAGTGAAAAGAGTTTGGTTGGGTCAGGTTTGGGATAATTGTGACCTGGACTGTTGTAGTTCCTTTATTTTCAAAATTGGAAATAAATCTAAAAAAACAAAAACAAACCAAAACCTAAGGGAAGGGAAGCATTGAATTTGAACAATTTTTTGTTGACATTAATAGCAATAGTCATATTACAGTTATTATATATAGTTGCTTTTGCTACTGTATGTGGAACTGTAGTTAACACTTGAATCTCAGCTTTAATTGGGGGGCTTAGTTCCTGCAGAGGAGGTAAATTTTACTGCTGATTTACATTAAATTGCATCACAAAAGTAGAGCAATGTTGAAAGTTGATGGAGAGCACTCTGGCAGATTTTTGGCTGAGGAAAGGTTTAAAAACCCAGCTTTCTGGGTTTAAAAACCCAGTTCAGAGAGTCTCTTCTGGGGTGCTGGTACCATGCAGGTGCCTCAGAGTCCCAGGTGAAACGCAGCAACTGCTTCCAGAGCAGAGCAAGGGCTAATACTCTTGTCATGCTCTTGCTTTCCAGCCTGCTTTGCCATTGGAGTTTTAGTATTATCTGGTCTTACATGTGCTTTCTGTCCCTCTTGTTTAACATGAGGAGAGCTTCTCTGTGCCATGGTTTTTAGAAGCTTATTCTTGCTTGTTTTTTTGCAGCTTCCCAATTTTGACTTAAAGAGTGAGAGTAAGAATTTAAGATGATCTATGGAATTTGCAGTCCATAGTTAAATTTCTAAAGCACCTGGCTTCTGCTTCCAATATGAGCTGAATACTGAATTTTTGTACCATTCGGAATCAGAGAGAAAGCCCTACAATGGGTTCCATGGTTTTGGGAATGTGGAAGATACTGAGGGAGTGTTGGGAATGTGAAGCACACAGTTACAAATTAAGTGATTGGTTGGAATTACTGATCAACTTCATTAATGTTGATGGTGCTTTGAGGTTTTTAGGAGGAAGTAGTAATATTTCAAATATTTTAAAGCCATACCTCTATGGCTTTCACTTCATCCAATAATAAAGGCTGGCATTTTTTTTAACTGCTCCCATGGAATTGGTTACACCCTGATTGTTCTGGGGAAATAAGGTGTTGTTATTTAAGCATTGCATTCAGAATACCTTTATGATATTCTTTCCTAAATAAATGTAAAAACACAGTAGTGTGCATTGATTGCATCTGAAGGCTGTAGTGTTTTTGGGTTTGGTTGTTGTTTGGTTACAGCTTTTTTAGTGAAATAAATGTCCATGTGACTTCTGAGCCTGAAAGACTGCTCTTGATGCTGAAGTGAATAATGCTATTGACACAACTTCTCTTAGGCTTGCTTAAAGTATCCAGGAAATAAATCCAGTATATCTTAATTTTGCTCTATTTCTGATGTACTCTGAAATGCTTCAATACTTAAAGCTGCAGAATCTGATGAAAATTTGTCAAACACATGAAAACAAGGCCATTTGACTGGATTAAAATCCTTTGAAGAAAC